TATACAAGAATGATAGATAATACAAAAATTGTAGATTATACAAAAATGAAAAATTACACGAAATTTGTACAGAACTTGCCCACATTGCCCGAGGAGTAGTTCGAATTGCCGTCTCCGCCACGGATCAGCAGTTTTTACAAAGTTTCTTTTGCATAAAGATTCGCAAGTTTAATCATTGTACTTTTACAAAAATTTTATAGGAATCGATAGGTAAAAGATTTTGCGTTTAAATAATAAGTAAAACGAATCACCACTTTGACATAAATATGCGTTTATATTGATGTAATTATGTACATGTTCTACACTCTTTCAGTGCACCAACAATATTAAAAATTCTACAGAAATTGTGGATTATATAAAAATGATAGATCATAAAAAAATTGTAGATTATACAAAAATGAAAAATTACACGAAATTTGTACAGAACTTGCCCACATTGCCCGAGGAGTAGTTCGAATTGCCGCCTCCGCCGCGGATCCGCAGTTTTTAAATATAGTCGGGGAATGTGTCATTGTCTCGGCATCGCAGGCACGCGAACGAGCAAATATTCGCGCACCGATGCGACAGGGTGAGTCCCGTGGGTGTGCACGGGGTGAAAAAGCAGAATTTTCCGGGAACGCGAACGGCAAGTATAATAAAATGGTTCGCCGATAGGATCGTGAGTGGCTCGCGCGAGGCGGCGCGAGACGCGCGGCCTGCCGGCGCAGAGACGACGAGGATGGAAACTCGCCGTTCATGAAATATACAACAGACGGCTCTCGAACGAGCGACTTCGAACTGGCTCTCGAGTAATCGACTGGTCCGGCACGCTGCAAAAGGATACCGGGAGAGGCAACGGCACCCGACCGGCCAGGCTGCTGCTCTGCCCGGTTCATCTGCATCGTTTCCCTCCAATTGCAGCTCCTTTTTCAGAAAGCACGATTCGTCAAAATTACGCCAGACGAATCTCTAAAGTCCTCGTCTTCTTCGTGGCGAAACTTCTTACGGCAAATTGCATTCCGCGCCCGCAGCGTTCCAATCCGACGCGATTGTCCGCAACGTTCGAGGAGCGCCGTCGCGCGAATCCGTGGCAGTTTCGAACGTCTCGCGAGGAATTTTTATCGCATAATTTCCTACATAAATTTCGCTGCTCGGATCACTGTTTATCCCGTTAGGAAGAGATACCACGAATTACCTGTGCATCATAAAAGGATGCTCGTTATTCGCTTAAACGATACGCCGCCTGATATTTCCAGAGGTTTTACTCGCAAATTACTTCAGCGTCTAAAATAAAAACTTTTGCCCGGTTAAACTGACATTTTTTTCTCTCAATGTCGTCGGAATTTATAAAGATTCTTTCATCGAAGATATTTCTTAATTGGAGCGTATATTATAACAAAAGTGGCGAGCGGTCTGAATTAGACAGCGAATTTTTACGTAAAATAAACATTCTCTCCGTTAATTGCGATAGCATTTTGGAGCTCATTGAATGCTTTCAAATGTGTCCTATTAGAATCGTTCATTTTTGTCGTAAATGCACGAAATCCTAAGTGAATTAATCCAGTCTCTTCGTCGTTCTAAAGCAACGCGCGTTAGTTACATCAACGACACGGCAAAATTAACCATTAGGGGACCAAAACTATTTATTCCCAATTTACACACTGCCAAGTCCAGGCAGACTGTTTTCAAGACGAAGAGAAATTTTTTACTGAAAATTTTTGTATCAAACATAGAGAAGAGATATTCATTTTTTAAATAAAACTTCGTTGATATATTTTCCTCGAAACAATCGTGCCTATTCTTCCAATGTTTCCTGCCAGATTTTACGGTTTTATTGATTTCTGCCGCGTGTATGGCGGCATTGGACCGTTAAGGGTTAATATTAATTACAACGTGCAGGAGAAATCGCATCGACTGCCGATCGCCAGTGAAGAAAACAGCCGTCGAAAGGCTCGTGGAAACAGTCGACGTTGCTGCTCTCAGGCGGCGAACCTACTTCAGCGGCGCGAGAGGATCGTCGTAGGAGACACACGCTTTGTTCGCAAAGGTCAGACGGCTGTCCACGAAAAACGATCTCCCGCACGAGGAGATCCGGGCCTCTTCCCACGAAGAAAGAGGAAAGAACCGCCCCGTTCTTGCGTGAACGCGCGAAAAACTCGTCTGGCGTACGGCTCCTCCTCGCCTCCGCCGTTCGCGGGGCGGTTTCTTGCTAGGCTTGCTTTCTCACGCGCGCTTTCGGTTTCGCCAGCAAATTTATTCGGTGGCGATGGTGTGTGTCGCACACGTCCCAGGGCCGGCCGGGGTGGGCCGGGGGGTGGGTGGCCACTCCCTCGAGCGGTCGTAAGAAATCACGTAGGATCGAGAGATCCCGCCGGAAAGTGGACACCCTTCGCGATCGCGCCGAATAAGGACTAACGGGACGGCCCGGCCCGGCCCGGTTTCTCGCGATCGATCTGGAAAAATAATCCTCGTGTGCTCGTTCCGCGGATCGACGACGTCCTCGAGCTGGTTTCTACCTCCCCCCCTCGAGCCATTCGAACCGATCCGAGCGGCAACACGCGAGTCGAGACAAATATAATACGGTCTTCTCATGCGGCCGGATACAAATAACAAATCGAAAGAATCCAACACGTTCCACTTCGTTGCCGAGGATATAAAGTGACTCCGGCCGATCGCGATTGCTAGACGGCCGGATTTTATGCGTTTGTACCGTAACTAACTGTTTCGGCGAAACTATGTAAACGTGAATTTTTGGGATATTTTTGATATTGTTTCTGACTCGTTCGTACGATTACAAGGGAAAACGTATTTTTATTTCCTTTCTGGTATCGACTTAGTATCATTTTTATTTTGCATAAAGATCCGCGGTCTAATTATTATAACGTACTTTTACGATGGTTCAATCTGTGCTCATACGTGAATAACGGAATTAATTGCTCTGATTTAAAAATACGAATTTCAATTATTATTATTACTTTTACTCTGTTATTATTTTTGTCTCGTATTTTATTTGACTGTATTTCTATCAATGACTTTCTTACTTATTCATTATCGTTATTTTCGCTTCTATAATTATACTAATTATTTTTCATTTTATGATATATAAATCTGATTAAACAATGTACACATTCGAGTCGTACGAAACCCTTGAAATTTTTGTGACGGTCAAAAAAGCGTCAAAGCGATGTAAGCCCATAAAATATTGCACCATGGCGGATGGACTGCTCTGTCATCCCACACGAGGTTCCACGACTTCGCGAATTTTCCTCTCCCCGAGTGATTACAATTACGTTTCTTGTGGAAGTCGTTGCTTTCCCCTCGGGCGCGAACGAGCGGATTAGCGGGTCGCGCGCGGAGCGGAAAATCTCCGTCGCAGACGTCGTCGTGTGGGCGAGAGAGCGTGATCCGACGTTGACGGCCGACCCTGACGAAGCAGAGGTTTGTACCCAGCATCCATTATTAGGCCGCCGATACGAGCAGCTACTACTACGCTTCATAAATATAAATTTCGAATGTATAATCGATGAAAGCGAACGCCTACCGAGCGACGCCAGCTGCATGAGAAATTCGCCGCGAGGCCCCCGCGCGGAGGGTCATCGTCATCGGCAGACGCGGGGCACCCAGATGAATCCCTGATTCGGTGCACGCCGGCTCATTCTTCTCGCGGAATCGTTCAACGATCGTGGAACGCGTTAATGAACACCCCCCCCCCCCCCCCCCCCACCGCCGGGGC